AGATGAGGTCAAATAAAAATTACGGAAGGAAAGGGAGAGAATTGATATTTTCGTTGGGTTGCGCGTTGGGTATTTCGTTGGGTATTTCGTTGGGTTGCGCGTTGGGTTGCGCGTCAATTAACGAGACGCAGCCGGCAGTTTATACAAAAAAATACTACCCCACCCTGTTTCTCGCGCGATATCAAAGCAAAACGATTACATTGCTCTTCTAGACTCGAACAGATCTAAGGGACGTGCGAGGCAGGGCGTGCAAGCGTCGCGACGCATTAGAATCAACGTCGATCGTTGGTACGCGCGCGCGGAAACCAAAGGGCGTCTCGCCTCTCCTTCCCTCCCCACGCAAACTTCCTTTTATTTCTCCGTTTCATTCGCGACCCTTTAGGAGAGGGAGCGCGAAGGACGAAGGGATTTTTTGAAGAGCGCGTCGAGAAAAATACGCAGTCTGTCTGTCGAACCGAGATCGATCTCGATCGATCGAGATTTATACGAAAGAAAAATATAACGGGCTTTCTTTGGCCGCTAACCTTCGGATATATTTGTGGAGCATGAGTCACGCTTTCGCTGTCATCGAGTTAATGGCTGCGACGCGAATATTTTCTATGTGAAATGTCGAATAAATGAGCGCGCGAATGGGTTGCGCGAGTTCACGGAGTGGAATCCCTCAGATATGTCAGACAATAGACTATTAGGGGAGTTTTGCGGTAAGCCTCTCGCTCGCAGGCTCCTTACGCTCTTGGCCATTCGTCGAGAGGGTGTTGCCCGCTTTCGAGAGAGAGAGAGAGAGAGAGAGAGAGAGAGAGAGAGCTCTCGTTGCGAGAGCCCAACCGACAACCCTTTTTCTCCTATTTACCCCCCTCGTTTAGAGCTTTCCAGCCTTCTTTCTTTCCTCGAAACACGCTCAAATTCTTTTCTAGATCGCTTATTTTTATAAACTTGTAACGGCTTTGGGAATATTATCATTGACGCGATACCGGCGGCAAATCTCGGTTTCTAGCGTAAGAAGGGATCGGGGTCGTCTTGGAATTTTGTTCTCTCCTCAATCCGAAAGATAGGGAGCTTCCTTCTATATAATAGTTTATGCGTAACTTTGTCGAACAGATGAGACATACTTTTTTTAACTTCGAGGTCGAATTTAACGATTCGATACGAGTCGTTGTATCGTGGTTAATATTCGAGGCGGCAGCAACGGTCCTACGTAATTTGACGCGCATATGTCGCGTTGCACAATCATCCTGATCTTTCTTTGTTCGCGATATGATATCGCGCGTCATTATAGCGTCATTTTCGATCGAACGATCCGAGTCGATAAAAGGTAGGAGTAATCATATGGCGGCAGCGAAATTCGATGTCTTTACGGCGACAACTCGAGAACCGATTACTTCCATGCCAAACGGAAATGCTCCAATTGTTCGAATTTACGAAAAGTTGGGTGTATAATCGGGGGCTCGTTGTTGGCAACGGAAACGGCTGGAGGAAAGAAGCAAGCGCGTATCTATTCTCGAATTATTTGCTTTGGTCGGACGCGCGTGCCTTCAGAAAGAGATACGTTCGTTCCAGTCAAAACGAGCACAGTGGGCCTTTTGTAGGCGCGTTGGATTTTCTCTCGGATTTTCTGCGACGTTAGTCAAAATACGATATCGACCGGATACGATTTTGCTCGTTTACAGCGAAAAGCATTTTATCGAAGGCGCATGCTCGTTCTTCGAACCGCGGATGTTCATACAAGTACATACATATACGCGATCGATCTCTTTCGTATCGTTTTCCAAAGCAGCAGCATCCCTTTAGTTTTCCTTATCAAACGTGCGCGCGTGAGGGAGAGAGACGAGGTGGGGGAGGGGTGGGGGAGGGAGAACAGTTTGCATCGACGGATAGGAAGAAAAAAAAAAAAAAACAATCCCTCTTTCCCTCTCGACTTCCCGGATATTTTTCGAATACGAAACGGTCTCGCGATCTCTCGCGAGTAGAACGACGACTCCTCTGACTGGCAGATCGTAGCCCGAGGGCTACTTTGATTTGTCGGAACGAATTTGCCGAGGCTTTCCTCGGGAAATCAGACCGACGTGATTTCCGCAATTTCGCGCGGAGCCTTGGCAAAATGCGAACGGTGTGTCCAAGTCCGAGAGAGGATTGGCCGCTTGGATATTTGCCCTCTCTCTCTCTCTCTCTCTCTCTCTCTCTCTCTCTCTCTGGATACTTCATATAAGATCATCCTCGAGGAAATCTCCTCCTTGTTTTCTTCCCCTCGTCTGGCTGGGAAATAGCACGTGTCGTTTATTTCTCGGTCGCCGCGGGTATCTTTCTTTATCTTTCGAACGAGTCCGGATAGTTGATAAATTCGCGATGACAAGTAAGTAATACCCCTATATATTTTGCCAACAATATTCGAATAAAGTCGTAGCTTATTATAGGTAGGTAGGTAGGTAGGTAGGTAGGCAGGCAGGCATTCAGAGTTAGACGTTTTCCAAGGGGGGCGGTCGATGGGCACGTGCGGAACATTCTTAAAAGATGGGACCAAAGTGTAAGTTTTTTCGCGCGGCCCCGGATGTTTCTCGACGGAAGGAAGACTCTTCCGGTGAGAGGCTGTTAAAATGCAAAGGGGCGGTTAAACGAGGATACCGGACCCGGTCGGTCGGTCGGTCGGTTGGTTGGTTGGTTGGTTGGTTGGTTGGTCGCGCGACCGCTCGCTCTTTAGTATTCTGGCGCCTCTCTAACGCGCTCTCCTCCTCCTCGCATTAATATACCATGGCTTAAGAGACAAAGGACGACGTTGGACGCCTCGAACGACGTATATTTTCGTTAACTCGAAGCCCCCGAGAGAGGTCTCTCAAATTGCCGGGATTTTCGCCTCGAGAAATGACCGATTTCCTTGGAATATTTTTCAAACGAACGCGAGCAACCTTCTTGGGTTATCAACGCGTTAGGCGCCTTGACCTATCTCGTCTCTAGTTGCGCGTACAAACTCGGCTGTTCCGTTGATTTTCGATCGGATTATCCTTTTCGTTCCCCTTCCACTTTTTCTCGAGTCGCTCTCACGGATCTTGGTTACATCATTTTCAAGAGAGAGAGAGAGAGAGAGAGAGAGAGAGAGAGAGAGAGAGAGAAATGGTGGGTAGGGGAAAGAGATAAAGTAAACGATGATAAACGATGAATATGCGTCGCACGTGTGGCCCGCGCTACGCGGATTAACGTTTCGTCCAAACGTTAACCTATGGGTCTTTAGCGATCGCGCGCGTCTTATTCTTCAATTAATCGATTTTCAAAGAAGCCATCTTCCCTGCGACATTTCTCGCCTTGTCCCCGTCACCCCGCCTCCTCCTCCACCGTTGCCGCCGACGACGACGACGACGACGACGACGACGACGACGACGACGACGAACGATGAGTCATCTCCCACGATTTCTTTTTCGTTCGTAGTTTAATGACCTCGTCGTTCGCTGCGCTTCTTCTCGCGCGTACCGTTCCAAGGCCCTTATTTTATTCATTTCTCTTAGTAACATTTCGGTGATTGCGAGTTTATCCATTTTTCATGACTATCTTACATGGATATACTATCTCGTAGGTCGTCCGATATCGTTGCTAAAGTCATCGAAGAAAGTTCAATATCGAGGATAAAAGTCGGCGGCGAGCCGTTGCTCGATCGAAATGCTCGATCGAAATGCTCGATCGAAATGCTCGATCGATATGAGAGATAAAAGTTGTATCAAAAATAGACAATGTTAGCGCGAAAAGTCGCGTTGCTTCCAATCGCTTGGGAAAGGTGTGGACGAAGAATGCTTGTTATCGCTGGCGCGTCATCGAGCAAACAAACCGCGATGGCCTAAATATGGGATGACGCGTAGATTGGAAACGCAACTTTGTTCGCAGCTGTACTTAGCGACGCAAGAACGTGTGTCCTTTGGGCACTTAACCTGCGCGGACACGTATTTCCCATGCATTTTAAGGATTTCGGACTGTAGGGGTGGTGTTTTGTAAAAGTATGAGCACGTAGTTGCGCCGAAAGGATCATAGAGTGGACTTAACTCGAAAATCCCGTGTAAAACTTGCTCGGAATAACAAAGTTCCGTCTAGCTGGCTCGGATGCTCTCCTTTGGACTCTTTTATTTTTCCACCAGCCATCTCCACCGGAGATTTATATTTCTCCCCCGCAAATTTCTCACCCTTCTTCTTCTTCTTCTTCTTCTTCTTCTTCTTCTTCTTCTTCTTCTTCTCCTCTCTCCTATTACGTGCTCTTCCATGACACCATTTTTAACTCCCTTCCCCGGCGTGGAATTTTGATCGTTTAAATGAATGTTGATCTATCTAAATAGGTCTAATAGGAGTAACAGAGACGCGACGATGCATTTAACGAGAAGAAAGGATGCATCGTTCTCTAAACGAAAACGGTCGCGCGGGCCAGCGTGGCGAGATTTTACAGCCCATCCGTCTCGTCCTAACTTTGACTCTTTCCATTAAATATCCATGTCATCGATATCGATTCAATTATCCGAGTACATTTAGTCGATAAATACCGAGTTTAGAACACGGGGTGCTTCGCGACAATTAATAAGTCGTCTCGTGTCATTATCCTCCTTTTAGATTAACGCAAATTACATCATATTATAGGATAGGTTAGATTTCGTTTCTTTTTTTCCTCCACGTAGATCGTTTCGAATAGTCGTAGTTATTATCGTAGTTGCCGAGAGGGGGGGGGGACGGGGGTCAGTTTGCCGCTGTCCATTGGTTGTGGCTTGCGAATCACGGATCGCGGCTCATTCCTCGCGGTTCTTCGAGCCCGAAGAGAATGCCGAGTACGATCCTGAATTTATATCGCGTGTTTAGGTGAGAATTGCTTCTTTATGAGAGGCACGTGAGAACGCTCAGCGATAGACCGACCCTTCTACTAGGTATGTTCGTACCTATACCACACCATGTCGGATATGCAACGAATCGCGAATACGTGTACAACTTTTAGTAGAAAAATTCACAATTAGGTATTCATTCGCTTTCGTTCCTTTCAGAACGACGATTTGGTATTCGATCAAGATGGTAAACAACCGAGCTTGCAAATTCCCTTGATCGAGAAACACGAGGAGCCATCGATCTTTCACAGGATAAAGACAAGGATTGCTCATTTTTTCGATTCTTCTACTACTAGTCCTATTTTTGGCAGTGGCGGCGGCAACGCTTCTACTGGCGGTACTACGACGACGGCATTGCCGACAGGAGGTGAGTCTCGTCTTCCGAAACTATTCTACTGTTGTTGTTTTTTTTCTATGCGTTGTGTTTTTCTCGTCGACAGACGTTGAGAAAAATGAAGAGAATACGGGTGTTCGGCCTGCCGCCGACAATTTCACGACGTTCAGCGACGTTTCCAACGCGAAGAAGAGCAACACCGATCGAAATTTCGAGAGACTCGTTCGAGACAGCCAAGAAGAGGAATACATCGACGATAAGCAGGTAAAGTTCGTATATTCGTTTGGAAAAGAAGACATTTTCTTTGACCGAAATTCATTGTAAATTATTTTCTCGATAGGAGAACGAGATCGGCGACGCGGCGGAGGGCCGAAGGGCTCCACAGAATTACGTAAATTCCGACGACGAAGACCTCGTGGGATCTGGTAAAAATATTGCTAATAACGATCGCATATTTTCTGGCTGGATAATATTTTGAAATAATATTTGAAAATTTGATAGGAGAGATCGAGGGTAGCGCCACGGACTCGTACTTTTCTCCAGCCGTCACGGGGCTCCCAAAAACCGACGGAAAAGCTCGTAAGTTGCGCCTCCTTAAACTTAATCGAACGATTAATCCTATCGACGATCCTTTCGACAGGATTTTATCGAATCACTTTGACGGTTGGCGAGCCATACAGAAGAGAGTACGCCGATAGAAACAGCAAAGAGTACAAGGAGCTAAGCGGCAATTTAACTCAGGCTTTGGAAGAACTATACGCTCGTCGTATCCCACATTACGATTACATCGCCAACGTCATTAAAATATCGTAAGTCCTATTTCGAAGATCGTAGGTAGATTGTCGTAGGCGAGAGAGCAACGTTGCCTTATTTTCAGACCGACGTCCGACGCGTTTACGTCTCAAGTCACCCTCGACATAGGATCTACCTTTACGGACGAGTTGGAGGTACGGGATATCCTGGAAAAACAGTTGCAGTATCACTCTTTGGGAAGCATCCAAGTCGGTCCGGAGGGATTCACTTTCCGACATTTCTTAGGTAACTTTGTCCGAAAATGAACGCGATTCGGCACATTGGGAAATGATCGATTCTTCCTCTTTGGAAAAAACTTCACTTTTCCCAAGTATTATTTCAGCCGTCATTCGGGTGCATAGATATTGTTATAGATTACGTTATCGATAGGAGAAAAATGTTTCTGCTTAAGTTCGAAGAATGGATCGCTTCGATAATGCGCGTTAGGACGTTCCTACCTTATTTATTATTTGGCACGTAGAGCACAACTACCACCACCACCACGTTTTCGTATAGTTTATTTTCGTTAGTTAGTCGATTAGTAGGTATCGCCGACTGCGCATAAGATTTATTTTGTCATGGCTGCTTTTTTAAAAAATCTTTCTTTTGGTTACTTTGTTATAACTTTCTAAAACCACGACTATGGGGTGGAGCAGGGAAGGAAAGAGTATTGCCGGAGTGCGACCAATCGAGCGAATTAACGTGTAGAAACGGCGAATGCGTGCCGTTAGATTCGCGGTGCGACGGTGTCGATCAATGCGAGGATGGATCCGACGAGCTCGATTGTCCCTCCAACGTCTCGACCCTGCGTCCGTCAACGACGGGTAAGTAGGACCCACCACCTTTCCTACCTTTCTTACCTTTTACATTTTTATTAAGCTTCTGCGGAATCCCTCGTCCGAATTAACGCTTTATCGTATCTTAACATCTTCACCGAAAAATAATGCATTTAGACGATACTTGGTAATTGAAATGTTGAGTGCATCGCGCGTCTAAAGAATCCGCGCTAAAGATTAAACAACTAGGCGCGCGACGCAACAACCCGTAGTAGTAGTAGTAGTATGTGCACAATCGGGACGGGGGGTAGACGTTGTAGACGTTACCGAACAAGGAGGATGGTCCTCGGCTACGGAGACTACGTCGAAATTCGAGGACCGGACCCCGACGGAGGAGGAGGAGGAGGACGAGGAGGACGAGGATACTACGACGTTGAGAGGAGTCTCGAACAAATGTCGCGCCGACGACGTCGTGCGCTGTCAGGACAGAAGCCGATACATTTGTTCGGTACAGAAATGCGACGGCGTGCCGGATTGCGAGGACGGAGCCGACGAAGTCGGATGTCCACATTCAGGTATATCAGCGGTTCCATTTCTATTTTACATTCGAAACCCATCTTCTACGTAAATCTATATTTACGTGCTATCGCTAAAAGGGGAGAGATGGTTCACCGACCGGAATACGGACTTAATGTTCTTTATCTGTCTGGATAAGTAAATCGTTTAGATCGTTCGTCTCTTACATACATGTACATACGCACGCAAAATATTCATTTTGACATTCTTGTACATATATAAATGACACTTTGCTAAATATCTTTGATAAGGCTCGCATGTTTGTATCGCTGGATCAAAGTTTCAACGTTTTGTCGTTCTTCCCTAGCAACATTAGCAATAGATATAATGTACATATGCTTTGATGTTTTTCTCTATGAGAAAACGGTGGATTTAGTTAAAAGTTCTTTGTACGATCTCGCAGGTTGCAAGTTTGGCGAATTCGCTTGCGACGTGCGGAGGTGCATTCTGGAATCTCAACGTTGCAACTTTGTTGAGGATTGTCAAGACGGAAGCGACGAACACGATTGCAACTACCCTGGTGAGTAGGAAACATTTTGAAAAGAGTTTTTGCAGAAAACTAGTTTACCATGAAAGAATCGATGGTAAGGTAGAATCTATTGGACGAGCTTGTTTAGAGACGAGCGAGCAAGGTAACGTAGAAAAAGGTGAGAAAGGATACTGCAATATCGACGGCGGGAAGATCGGGAAAATCGATTAAACGCGAGGAGAATTTGGAGTTTTTCGAGCAACCGCCTCGTAACGGAACAAATGTTGTCGTCGTATCATTGACGCAACTGTTCCTATCATAGAAAGGAAGATTGAAAAGTCCATTGAAAAGTCGATCGAAAAGTTGGATTGTAATTCGTAGAGACGCGCGTCGTCTATCTCTTGTTTTTTCTCCCCTTTGGATAAAAATAGGGTCAGGTGCGGTGGAACTACGAGCAAGTCTACGAGCAAGCAGGACGTACCTACTGAATATTCAAAACTCGAGAGCTTTTTCCCTGCTCCTATTTCACGAGCACAACGCGGTCTCGTGCTCTTCCTTCCTTTCGTTTCTACCCTCGTCTTCTTTTCTTCTCTTCTCTTCTCTTCTCTTCTCTTCTCTTCTCTTCTCTTCTCTTCTCTTCTCTTCTCTTCTCTTTTCGTCTCGTCTCGTCTCGTCTCGTCTCGTCTCGTCTCGTCTCGTCTTGTCTAGTCGCGATCAACAACGCGGAAAGGAGCACGGGACCAATCTGCCAGAGTTGCTCGATTCAATTTTAGTCCAAGGGAAAGAGCGATCGTAAATCAACGCAATAGGAGGAAAAAAATATAAAAGGAAGAAACGATTTCAAATAAATAACCGGAGACACGCAGCTCTTCGTTGTCGTCGTCGTTGGTGGCAGCGACGACGGCGGTGGCAGCGACGACGGCGGTGGCTGCGAAGCAAGAACGTTTTACCCGAGTAATCGCGATATGCATGCTTAATCAATATTCAAGTATTCAGCAGCGAACTAGACTGGGGAGGATTTACCTGTTCTCTACCCTCTTCTCGCTCCCTCTCATCCACCCTTCTTTCTTGCCATCTTTGGTAGGTAGGAATTCGCATAACTACTTTCGTGTCTCTCGCTTCTTCCGTCTTGCAATATGCCAGTGCGGACAATTATGAGTCGTTGCGGGTAGGTAAGGTAACTGGAACCACGACAAAATGAAAAGAGATGGAGAGAGAGAGAGAGAGAGAGAGAGAGAGAGAGAGGGATGGGAGGAGGATCGTGGGGTTATCGCACGCTAGGCACCACCACGACAAATGTCAGCACCCGCCCCTTCGAACATTATTCAGATGCGTCCTTTGACTCTAGAAGCGTGTACTTACGTCTAGATGTGTTTCTATCCTCCTCGCAGCCTCGACGTCCTACTTATTAAAGTTAAACGTACCCTCTCTCTAGTCGGATACCTAAATAAATTGGAATCGATTTGTTTCATTTATATCTCGAGTTTGTGTGATTTCAACCCAATTTCATAATCGTTTCATCCGAGTGGATATAAATGTAATTATTTGCAGAGGCGTGCGCCTATCGTTACTTTGTTTTTCGATCAAATATACGGGCTACCTCGATTGATATGTTTTTCAAAAGTGATCGAAAACAGACGGCGAAGTTGGACAGCGTTGGTAATAGCTGGTAATGCCAGGCCTAGGGTTTACCGAGGCTAAAGTGTTACGTAGAAAATGGTCGTCCTCGAAATTGGCGTTCTCCGAATCCTGGAGACTGCATCGCCCGATAGGAACGATCTTCGATGTGTCTCTCAACGCTTCGCGTTGCGTTTAGTCCTTACGCGTTTGGGTGCCTTATCATAAGAGATAATAGGTAGGAATATCGACTATATTTATACTAAAGAGCGCGTCTCTTTGAAAAATGTTTCAGTGTCGCGTTTTTGCGACACGACGCGAGCAAATAAAGAAAGGTAAATATCGACGTTGGCCCGTCCCTCCTATCCGATATTATAGCGTAATCGTAGTCTCGTTGGTAGCATCCAGTTGTCGCGTGAACGTGCCGTTTCGCGATCGCATCGCTCAGTCGATCGATCCTTTAAAAGAGAAAACGTATATTTTTTTTTTTTTCCATCGGACCTAATCGTCGTCTCTCAAACGATTCAGCGTCAGAGCGCGAACCTTTTATATCCCTGTGTATGATTTTGCATTGCGTGGCTGTTGTTGTTCGAATAACGAGTTTCGGAATAAAGGAGCCAAGAAGAAAGGGAGGAAGAAAGAGAGAAAAGCAGGTCATTTTCGGTATCCCTGGTAGAATTCATTTTTGGTCGGTCGGTATTAAACGCATATCGGTGGAGAGGGGTCCGCGAGGGGAGGGTCGAAGCTGGGAAAACGGCGGATTGGTAGGCGTTACCCTTAACGTACCGGCACCACCGAGCTCGTAACGAACGCGACGGTTATTTCGCTCTCGCGGTACTCTCGGTTTTTTGTAATTTACGAGGATCCGTTTAATCGCGGTCGCCTACCGAAAGACGCCCGCTGCGAATTTCCGAGCCGAGAGCTTTCATTTATCCTTCCTCCCGAGAACCGATCGCTCGCACTCTCAACGAGGATGAGAGTGTCAGCCGCGGCGAAGAACACTCGGCAGACAGTTGAACGCGAGTCCATTAGTATGAAAATGTGATATAAGATAGCTTTGAATAAACATGCAACCTTTCCTTGCTCGTCGGACGTACTTACAATTACTTCTGAACTCTGTGTGCTCGGCGCGTCGGTCGGTCGGTCGGTCGGTCGGTCGGTCGGTCGGTCGGTCGGTCAGCGGCAAACTTATTTTATTTAAACTTGTGTAATTCCACGAGCTCTCGAACCCGTCCTACGCTTTTAGAAAAACCTAACACTCCTACCGAGTACCTGACGCGAGCATACTTTTCCTTTGGATTTCCCTTTTCTTCCCATTTTTTCCTTTCCTTGTCATCTTTTTTCGACGAAATAGTTGAATTATTTGTGCGCTAACGGATCGATCGAAAAGTGGATAGGTAAGTAGGTCAACGGAGGATAGGACGTTGAACTAACCGCGACGTTTGTTAGTTAAATACCACCGGGATCCATTAGAAAACGAGCGTTTTCTTCTAAACCGGCTTTCCTTCGAGGAGATATCGATTTATCGTATGGAGAGCTTAACGAATAATTAGTCGCATCTTCGTTTAAAAGAGGAACGAGTAGCCGAATGAAGAGACTACTAATCACATCTATCGATAAGCAATCGACGAGGGCAAAATCCTTTGGTTGGGGCTAAGGAATAGGTACGCACGCGAAGACTCGCGCAGGAAGTTTCCGCAAGGTTTATCTCGTTTGCTCGAGATTTGCCGGTGCCGAAGTTGCACGAACCCATCCGAAGGGAGGAAGCGCGCGAAAGGGCCGCGCGTTGTGGTGGCCGCGCGTGCCTACCTGCGAAACCACCTACTACGCTTGACAGTCATTCCTTCGAAACAACGCGGTTCGGACGTTGCTGCTGCTTGCTACTCGAAAATGCGATACTTTGCAACCGCTATCGGATTTTCCAATATTTCAAAAGTCTCGCGCCGCGCGTAACGCGCACTGGGGGGGAAACAAGGAGATCCGAAGTGCCTCCTCCTCCCACGCTTGGCATTGCGCGTTGACAGGAGGTGGGGTGTGGGTCGCGTTCTTCAGTCCATGCCGAGGAGTTTCTCTGGCAGTCTGTCAGCTTCGGTCAACGCGACAGCTAGTAGTTCATTCCTTTTATCGAGTCGGCCGGATCTTCCTTGCCGCCAGGTTCGCTCCTTTCATTCTCGATTTATTTTCCGTTGGGCAGCAACTCGCTTTCGCGATTAGATTTTGAAAATCACGTGGAAAGGGCTGTCGCTTTCGGGCCGAGTTGTTCTCTTGCAACCGACGACGACGACGGCTGGGCTGGGCTGGGCTGGGGGGTGGGGGCAAAGTTGCGAGAAACGACTAAACGACTTTGGAGAAAAAAGAAAAAGGGTGGTGACCGCGCGCGCCATTCAGAAAATAATTAAAAATAATTGAAAACGCAACGAGAGTGGCGACTGCCATTGTGTTCTCCCAACCTACCCCCGTCGCGCTTTCTTTCTTTACCACCGCGAACAAAAGCCGTTACCTAAAGAGACACACGGAAGGGTAAAGAAAAGAAGCGCAAAGTTCCAAAGGGGGTCCATCGCGACGGAGGAATAATTCACGCGTTAAACGCTTTCGGGGGAAAAGGTTGCAATCGTTATTCGCGTTCTTTTTGAAATAAAGCGAGTTTGCCGCGAGTAAACGGTTACTTTGGATTATAGTAGGAGCGGCCAACAAATGAGAAAGCGTTTCTTTCGACGCTAGTCTCTCGACGATCGTGAAAAAGGAGATCGAGGAAGAAGCGAGATGGAACGACCGCTGAGGAATTTCCTCGCCATCGTCCTCCTCCTCCTCCTCCTCTTATCGGCCTTGATATCTTCGAATCTCGCGCAGGAAACGAGACCGTCTTATGGAACACGCTACAGAGGTAAATAATTACAATGTTTTTCGGCAGGAACAAAAAATTGCTTCTTTTTTCGATTCGAATGGGGTCCCAAGGTAACGTTTGTCTAGCCGAGCTTTCGTTTACTTCGATTTTTCCTGCTCGAGGTGTAATCCCTAGGGATTCGTCGTCGTTCGAATTCATTCAAATGTAAGCGATCTGGGTTGCTCTCCCGAGCGTTATTTACGATATTTGCGACATTGAAAAGCTATTACTATATCTTCCTTCTAATCTCAACTTGATAATAGCCTCTGTGTTGGAAAGATGTAGGACGAGCTTGTTTTTAATCGAATCACCTTTTCCAACCCGTTCGATTTCGTTCCTCCGAACGAATTTCATTAAATAATACCTATCGCCCGGGGAAAGAATTTCTCTTTCACAATAGTTTATTCGCGATTCGTAAAAAGTACGGTAGATAGTCGCGTTCGACGGCACTTGTTGCGCGAGAGAGAAAGAGAAAGGGGAAAGGGAAAGGGGAAAGAGAAAGGGGAAAGAGGGTGGAGCACAGATTTTCTACGGATTGGCAAGAAACTTT